ATTCAATATATATATACTAAACATATATATACTTAGTATGAATATAAATATACACAATATATAATTTTTAAATGTAAATCAATAGCAACTGAGAAAAAAAGGGGAGAACAGGAGAGTTGATTTGAATACACCTCGTGTCTCTTTTTATATTTTCTCCAGGAGATCTGATTACCAGCTTATTATCTTGAATGTTACCCATGGAACAACTCGGGGGTTGTCAGATAAATTTTTCCTACCCCTCTTAGAGGACTCTGTGATGCAAGGGAGAATGACTTGGGTCCTATGATAATATTGTGAATCATTCAGACCATTTCTTTCTCCATGAAGATGCCTCTCTTTTCGTTCAGGATATCAGGACAGTTTATCCTCTCCTAAAGGTGCCTTCCTTTCACGTCAACCGCAGCCTTTCATTCATCTGAACGCAACCTCCTCATACTGTTCTCCAAATAATGTAAAATAACTTAAGAATGGAAGTGCCTTACGTAACAAACATTACATAAATACGCAACAACTCAGATAGTGACAGGGTAAATATTCTGCCTGGGAAGACATCCAGAGCAAGAACATAATGAAGGAATTTCATTTTATGAAAGCATTGGGAAGGGGTAACTGTTTTGAAAGTGGAGACTTAAGTTGCCAGGGAGGTCAACATACACATAAATTCCTCCAAGAAATTAAACCCCATTCTAACAGCCGAGAGAACTGGGGACCTCATGGGGGTTGAGCATGGGATCCACACTGCAGGGGTGTGGGGGAGTCCAGGCATTCACTGAGATGAGGCTCTGACAAAATGGGCCCCTTCCCCTTTCGAGGGACAGCACGTGCGCATACCTGATGGCCTTCAAAAGGTTTGGACCAGCAGTTCGAATGGGATCTATTTTCCTAATTATACAAACCAGGTCCTGGCTATAATAAAAACAGGTGTTACCAAAACACACTGGGTGCAAGAATGCCTTGTCTGTTCGCTTATTTATATTCCAGTTATCTACTATGTGCAGCCCCGTGCTAGGCTGGCCCTCCAAGGCAAGTTTCAAATTCACAGATTCTTGGCTTGGGCCGGGGCGGCGGTCCATGGATCCCCAGAAGGTGACCACAAATGAGCCTCAGCAGTCCTGGAAAACGAAACTGTGCGGGGGGAAACTCCGCGTATAAGCGCATATGCGTATTTTTTTTTTTCCCTTGGGAGAAGGCTTCCAAGGGATTTTCAAAACTTTCTGTGATGTTCCCAAAAGATTAAAAATCACACTCTTAGAAGTTAGAAGGAAATTTACACTGGATTCTCTTCCCTTGTTTATGATGTGGTTGATGATACGGTCTGGTAGATTTCGTCTTTGGTTCTAAAATGAATTCACTAAAGCCGGTATTCCCTGATTGACCCATTTCTTTCCAACTGACTATGTACTCCAACAGGGACGGAAGCACTCACAGACCTCATTGCTAAAATTTCTTAACTGTCTCTCAGCTGCAGCCACGCTATGCTTTCCTGTAACTGCAAATGTCAGTGATCCCTGCCTCAACTGCCCATGTAAACTGATGGAAGCGACTGTTAATTCACCTCGCCAAAGAGAACCTCTTTTGACCCTGAACTTCAATTTACCGGAGGTGAGGGATGGTCCCAGAACTTGTGGTTAAGTGAAAGGTTCTGAACAACAACCTGTGTGCTCTGCATAACCTCTCCTCCCCTGGGAGCTGCTAACGCTTCTTCCATTGTAAAGGAAGAGTCCATTTCTATGGAGACACCAAATTGAAGGGAGAAACTCCCAAAAGGGAAGTATACCCTGAACGAGAATTTAAACTGGCAAGGAGCAAAAGGAGGGAAGGGGAAAAAGAAAGACGGTTCAGACTGCTGAAGCCTTCACCAATATTTTTTAGGGGCCAGTGTTGTCAGCAAGGCCTTAAAAGCCGGAAGGGCAGGTTTCCCCAGTTGCACTGAACTTGAGGTTAGACGTTGTGTGATCCTGGATATGAGCCAGCACCCAGACAGATCAGTTTTGTCGAACAGAGAAAAACCCTTCCACGTCCAACCTCTGGCGATTTCTGTGAGGTTTTCCAATCTGCATGGACTGGCAGCTAGTAGAAAGAAAAGGGAGTTTCTTTTTCTACCCTTCGTTTGGAGCTGAGCACCAAGCCCTTTTGAGAATCCATCGGATCTGTGCTGTTTGACAGAATGCGAAACTGGCACAGAAATGTTTGGACGAGCCAATAGCCAGGACCTTCTCGGCCACTGTGGTGTGTTGATGCCAATGACGTGTTTTCAGGCACGTTTTCAAAACCAGAAAATGAAACAGTAAATAGCCTGAAGATCGCCTAAGAAAACGTAATGACACTTTTAAAGGACAAGATTCAGTGAGGAAGATTGAGGCTAAGTGTCAAAATTAGTAGAATCATCTGCTCTCTTCGTAATGGGAAGCAAATTACAAAAAAAAAAAAGAAAAAAAGAAAAAAGAAAAAGATCTGGCAGGCTTCGATGTTGACACTTCCACTCGAGAGAGTAAACTCAAGCTGTATTTTATAACTACGGAGAGACATAAGGACACAGAGTCAAATGGGGCCTTTTGACAGCCCGTTTCGTTTTGTAGTACTAAAAAAAAAAAAAAAAAAAGAACCACACAAGCACACAAATAACTCAAGACCAACAATCTACAGGATAACCATGATTGGGTCAAATGTGCAATTAGGGCTCCTATATTTTGGATTGCTTATTATCTCGCATGGGAAGCGGAGCCCATTCCAAACAGAGATTGTCCCTTCATGGCATTTTAATCGATTTTCTTGTTCCAGGTTATCAGAAGACAGCCCGGCCTTGGTTCCGGCTGCTTCACTCTCTGGGTTTTATGCAAACTCTAAGGCATTCTGGCACGAATCAGGCAGCCAAGTGCAAACAGTCCACACCTCGGGGAGACGGTTCACTGTTCCCCAAGTAAACACAATCACCTATTAGTCACCCACTCAAAACAGAAATGGCCAATGGGAGACAAGAGACCAGCCCTCGGTGCCAGAAAAGGAAGCATGCTGCTTTCAAAATCCCATTCTTTATGAGCACCCACTAACTGCATACATACTGCCTCAAAGCCACTACAGCGCTGCTGGTGGGGGAATGTCACCGGCATGATCCGTTCAAGTTTCCCACACTTTAAAATTTTTTTTTTCAACGTTTATTTATTTTTTGGGACAGAGAGAGACAGAGCATGAACGGGGGAGGGGCAGAGAGAGAGAGGGAGACACAGAATCGGAAACAGGCTCCAGGCTCCGGGCCTTCGGCCCAGAGCCCGACGCGGGGCTCGAACTCACGGACTGCGAGATCGCGACCTGGCTGAAGTCAGACGCTCAACCGACTGCGCCACCCAGGCGCCCCTTTCCCACACTTTTATAACCCAAACCCAACACGCAGACCCCCATAGACGCGCACTACGATAACAGGACTTTCTCTGGAAATGCAGTATCGTGAGACTCAGCCACCGTTCCTGATAATGCACATCCACAAGAATTGAAGTGAGATGGCGAGGGAGGCTGGCAGGCAGGCCCCAGACAATAGATAGGGCCTTTGTGTTTTATTGGCTTCTCACCTACTCAGCCAGCCACTCATCTGAAGCCTTCGAGATGTTTTCTAAACACACATCTCTGAATCATAATGTGAATTCCATTTACTGAAAGGCGGGGACTTTTAATATAACAAGTGAACCCATTTAACGACTTTATGCTTTTATACATTACAGCATCTCTCATGCTTTCCATAAGTGGATATAATTTTCTTTGCGTTACCCTATTATTAACATAGTTAGTATTATGAACATATGTATTCAATCATGTTATCTCTTTTTTTTTTTTTTCTTTCTCAACCTAGGATGCTATTTTAAAAATGCTCTGGACGGCTAAGATAGCAAAAATGATTGCCCCCAAAAGCACCACACCTTTACCCCTTCCCCTCTTTGACTAGTCAAACACAGATTTTCTTGTAGTTTGCAATGTCTTTATAAAGAGTAACGATTACTCTTATGTTTAAATGTCCATTGGTTATACTTTAATCTTTTTTTTTAAATACAAGAGTCATCTTCTGTTGTTCAGGCCCTTATCGTGACTTTTATTATATTCGAAATAACTTGTATGCGTTAGGTTATTCATTACTATATCGTGAAAATGAGATTTTCAAAACAAACTCTCCTTCCTCTTCAATTAAACTTCTAGTACTTACTGCTATTTATAAAATATGACTTCAGTTCCCACAAGGCAGAGAAAACACGATATTTGAAAATAATTGGAAACCAGAGGGGTTTACGGGCCAAAATTCCTCTTTCTGCTCTAATACTTCAGTAACGGGCACAGAAAAATAAAACACACAGAACAGTTCCTTTGGGTAATCCAGTCTTTAACACATTAGCACGAAAATGTTAACTGGGTCTGACCCCTCCCCCAAACAATAAGGCATCCAAATGACACGAAATAAGGAAGGTGGCAAAACGCCATCAAATCTACCAAACCAGAAGGATATCAACACCGTGTCTTCATATTTTGCCGTAAAATGGTAAATTTGAAACCACATTTCAGTAACCATATATTGTATATCCCTTACAACGATCAGAAGTGCTCATCTGAAACTTGGTCCCTTGTCACAGACAGCTCATGGAATCTAAGTTAGAGGCCTCTATTGTAGAGATTTTTGATAATTACCAAGTTGAGAACACCAGTTGTACGATCTCAGTTTCCATGATGGTGAGTTTTATATTTTTAAATTTTGGTGAGGACCTGAGGGATTTCCTTGAAGTTCACATTTCATGTTTTACATCTTCCAAAGCAGTTTTAAACCGGCTCAATAATAGAATAATAAAACTCAATTAAGTTTTAAATAAATATTTTTTAAAAGCTCGATGTAGTGATAAGAACAAGAAAGACTATTTCTAGGGGGGGACCTTCCATCACGGAAACTTCTAGAAGGTTTTGAAATTTGGGTCTGTTGCCATGTAAATACTTGTGTTTCAAGTTCAGTTTTGACGGATACATACCTCGTCCACTCCGACCCACAAACCTGAGGTCATTGAATCTTGCAACTTGGTTTTTCATGGCTGCGGTGGCATTTCTCAGTTCGGCTGAGTAGTTTTCGTCATTGCCTGCCATCACAGTGACCAGAGTACCATCTGGGACATCCCCCAGAGCCACCACCTAAACACCAGCCAAGGGACAAACGCAGACATCAGAAATGTTACAAACGTTGGTGTCTCTGGTGTAGTAATTGCTCTAAAATTAAACATATATTAAGTGATCCTTTTTAAGTTTGCAAAGGAATAGCAAAATGACAGAAAAGTTATTCATGGGAAGAATTTCTTTGAATTCCATTATGCAGAACTAAATATAAATTTTCAAGTCCTAAAACATTCATCTAATAAAGCCACATCAGGTCACATGGCACAGTTGGAAGGAGACTGAATGCGGCCAAGGCTCTGGAAAGCTGTGCCTTCTCACGAATGCAATCATCTTACTCGCGCACATCTGAGAAACGCAATATCTTCTTTTTGTGACTATATAACCTAACCCATTTCTCGCTTGTCCAGGCCTCCATCGATGGGCCTAACGGGGCCAACTTTGCTTTTAGGTGTTCAAACTTATTTCCGCCAAAACTGAATTCCATCATTACAACTGAATTGTTGACCGTTCTTGAGGGACGCTGTCCCTCTGCAGGTCATCTTTGAGACCCCCTGCTCGCTTCTCTTATTCTGATTGTCAGTAGCAGGGAATTCTGGTAGGCAAAGGAAAAAAAAAAATCAGAAGTGTATCCTTTATTACTAATTCCAAAATCAACAGACGTCAGAGAAGAGGGGCTCTCCCTGTTATGTGCTGCTCTGAATTCAGGAGTGGAACTAGGTGGCATTTTTATATCTGTGGGTCCCGCAGACGTGTCCACTGCATCCTGATAGTTGACTGAGGTTTTCCCCAAACCCAGCTGACCTTGAAGAGGAGTTCCGCTAACGTAATTGCATAGGAATGGATTTCCTAACAGGGCTGGTGAACAAGACTGGTAGATAAGTATTTTTGATACTCAGGTAATAAAAAAAGCAGTAATTTCCAAGGTAAAATGCTCTGAAGAGCGTGGTGTAAAGATGCTTTGTGCAGTAGTATGCCATTTGACCCTTCTAGAAACTATTTATTGGGGTTAGACAACTATTACCAGCTAAATTTCCATTGCTTCTATTTTTTTAAAGTGGTCATAGGACTTCCGATGAAAACACCCCAAGTTCTATCGTTTCTGATATTCCTCATGGTATTTTCTCAGTCAGTAGTGCATTTGTGTTAATCATGCCAATCATACAGTCGCTTTCTTCATGCTGTGTTTGAGTTGGAACAGCAAAGAATTCTCTAGGGATTATTTCTTCCCTGTGTTTTCTACCTCTTCATTTTTACCCCATTTGGGGGTTAATACCTATATTTTCGACCCTCTTTTCCTGTCTGCAAAAAAGGCTGCCATAGGCTCCCTGATAGCAAAGCCATGGTTTCTCGAAATGCCCATCTTCGTGGCCTCCCCGTGTCATCCAAGTGACCCTCCGTTGCTTTTGTGCCTTGGGATGCTTCAGCTCTTGGGCTCTGAGGAGTCTGGCAGGGAGGACAAGCCATCTCACCACAAGAGACTATGGGACCGGGAGAACCAGCCCACACAGCAGTAGGTAAGCACATTCTTCATCTGTCTTAGCACACTTGCTCTCTCAAACACCGTCTGGGCCTTTTATCTTTCTTTCTAATCCTTTCCATCCCAACGCTGGGCATGTTTTCTACGAAGGAGATTTAAAAACACAGCTATTTATTCCCCAAGCACCCTCTAATTAGATATTTAGTTCCCATTAGAAGCGTGTTTGTTGCCTTTTAATTAAGAGCAGTAATATGACAATTCCCTTTTGTTTCGAAAACATCATTGAACTAAATCTCCCTGATCAGTTATTTACTTATTATTATTATTTTTTTTTTACCACTTTTTCTATTCCCACAAAACGTGCTTGCTTTATTCTGCTTTTTTCAGTCTCTTAAAAATTTTTCCACTTTTTTTTTTCTTCACTATTTTCACTTCCCTCTGTAAAATTAGCTCACAGTGTTGAAATGCTCTCCTGGAACACATATTTTTACTTCCTCGTCCCCATCTCCCTGTGATGACCCGGCTTCTCTATTTTAATCCAACCTTCAGTAAGTATACAAGGACTGTATACTTAATTACATGGTTTTCAAACTCAATAATTCGCTCTTGGGGCAGAGTCTGTAAAGAGGTTGAAGTAAGTAAATCTTGTTGCATAGCTTCCCAAACGGATTCTAAATCACCTTCCTCCCCCTGGCTCCTCTCACGATGCTCCACGCCTGTACCTCTCTCATCTTTCCAAGACTATCTTTGTCAGTAATTTGGCAAACTTGTGAGACCTTCATCAAGTGGAAACAAATATAGAGTAAAATGATCATGGTGGCTAAATATGAAAAGGTTGCTGATGTTGGAATTTAAGACCAACAAAATTAGGAGTTTAACTCCTACCCCTGCCTTTCTAAAAAAAATGCAACAAAAGTCAGAGATATTTGGGTGCCTGAAGATCATTTATTTGGTCTTTTCTTGATCTCAGAGGGATTTTTTTTTCTTTTTTCTTTTTGCTTTTGGCAGGAGGAAAGGGGAGAATATTAAATCCGGGGAAATTACAGTAATAACGTATAACATCTAATTGTTAACAAGCCTACTTAGCCTAGATAAAAAAATTAAAACATTAAAACTAACACGTCTGCTAATTTTATACAGATTGTGTCACTGATAGGCAATAAGGAGAGAATAAAAAAAAAAAAATCTAACTTCAAACAGAAAGAAAGAAGGAACTGGAATGAAAAGCTATAAACAATAGGTAAGGAAACACAAACATTTACATTTAACACAGACCAAACAGACAAGAAGGGACTTGCTGGCCAAAGGATATCTCATATTTTGTTTTACTTCTCTGTTTTTAAAGTATCAGGAAGTTGGGCAAAATATCAGCCCTCCTAGGTACTCTAGTGGATCTCCCCACACCGCTCTTGGCTGGCCTGCTCACACATTCAGACTGGCATTTTAAACAACTCTAATTAGGTTGAAATTACAGTTACAATTCATTTATTTCAAATCCCTTAATTTTCCAGAGTTTCAAAGAAAGCTGTGGAGTGGAACCCAGAACTCAGCCAAGATGACATTTAATGCATGCCCAGGGACTGAAGTCTTGCCGATAGAAACATGACTTCTTTCTTTCTTACAGAAAGTATATGACTATTAGCATCCAAAGCCTCTGAACTTGTTGAAGGCATGTTTATGCCTTCGGACCCTGGTGAGCCAGGGCCTAAACAGACTGTAATATTGCAGTATTAAAAAAAAAAAAAAATCCTACGTCATCTAAATAGCTTTTTTAGGCTGCTTCTGTAAGTAGTGGGTAACACGTAGCAAATTTAAGATTTTCACAGTAGTAAAATATGTATCTTTTCTATGCTAAAAATTAAAGGTGTTCCATGGGAAAAATGAAGGGGAGGAGTTACATTTTTGGGGTCCAGGACAAGCAAATAGGCTTATCTTAATCTATTTTAAGGAAACTTCGTAATCTGAAGTCTCCCTTCCATTTCAAACTTAAAGCAGGGGATTTACACATTGGATTTCGGAAGGCTAGTAAAGAATCACTTACATGCTCTTTTCATCAATACCATCAGACTTTATCATTGGTTCACATTTTCTCCTCCATATTACAGGGAAAACAATCATCCTTTACTGATTAACTTCTTACAGAGATTGTCTGGGGCTTATTTAAAATCCACATTTTAAAGTAATAATGTCTACGGAAACTCTCTGGGAGGAAGGTAGGTGGCTACGTGGAGAGTGGAGCCAGGGATACACGGGGAGTCAACTGGGAGGGAGTCACGTTTTGAAGGCTAGCTTGCTTTCCCCCCCCTAAGCTTTGGGCTCCTTTCCTCGCTGAAAATTCTGTCTGCTCCTTCGGTTGTGCAGGGAGCAGGCTTCCTCCAGGAAGAGGCCTCCCTTGATGGGGACGCAGTGGTGACAGATACTACTCAAGTGGCTACATTTCTGCAACGTCCTTCCCTTTCCCCTATCTGTCCTCAAGACCCACTTGAACTTTTTGTCAAGAGAACTCTACATGGGTCATATAGGAGTCTACCAAGGATCACTCAGTAAAACAAATGAGATTGAAAAAAAAAAAAAAGTGAATCGTCAAAAGTCATTTTGAAAAAGAAATCTCTTTGGTTACCAAGATTTCTGCGAAAAAGAATTCCCGGGTGGCTCATCAAAGCAAGTTCTAGGATTTTCTTTTCAGGCTTTTAGAAGAAAAAAATATATATCCATATATATATATATATCATACATTATATATATATAAATATACATATACATAATGTATATATATACATATTTAGAGTAGCTTGAGAAACTATATCACTTCACCCCCTGAAGATTATTAATCACTTAGTGTTTTGATATATTTGGGCGTTGGTTCCCTGGAGGAGGAGGGGACATCCAGAAGAGATTCTGATTTCACCTCAAAGGAAGACACAGGGCTCTTACAACCCACTCCCTTGGTAGGTCAGGGGTATTGGGTTTAAATGACCCTTTGGCTGATTATCAGCCTGTCTCCTCCCTCAGCTCTTATCTGAAAAGTGGCCCGGGGCCGAGCCCTGTCAAGTCCCCAGTCACAGAAGGGACTCAGTCCTGTTCTGTGGCTAAAGGAGCTTGTTTCTGTAAAGAGATTAGAATGATTGAAAATTGAAATGGACTCCCAGCCCAAATCTACAGAGATGCAGGACAGCAAGGAAAGAGTCCAGTGGCTTTTCCACCTCATCCTCACTCCCTCCCCCTCCAAAACTCCTGCTCTCAGAAAACGGAGGCAATTCTATAGACAGAGCCAATTACACATTTTGTTTGGTCTTAGAAATCAAAATGTTAAGTCTAGAAGGTGTATAAAGCTTAAAAATAAAGAACTCCGACAGTACTGTATAAAAAACTGAACACTATCAATTGTAACTAGATCAAGATCCAGTAGAGGCCTGGAACTCTTAAAAAGCTTATATTAAATTAATCTCCCTGAAAGGGCACAATCTGATCTTTACAGCTCCCTCCCCACCCCCCACCTGCCTTTCTTAGTCCTCAAAATGAACAGGAAATGACTACGGATTGTACTAAAATGTTGGTTGCCCCTTCTTAAACCCACCCAAGACAGAAGAATAGAATCCCCACCGCCAAAATTAAATTTCTACTGTTTGCGGTCAGGGCTGGGGCGGGCGGGGGGGGGGGGGGCAGTGGCGTTTTAAAAACGCCGGGTGTTGTTGATAATATCCCGGTTCAAGGGCAAGGTTTTTTAAAGGCCGCTCAAAACTAGGGCGAGATCAGGGGTGGAAGTGAACGAAGACCTCTCGGGCTGTTCAGCAGAATTTGCGGGGTCCACGCCACCCCCTCCCCAGACAGAAATGCGAGCGGATTAGACCCCGGCTGGCTCGCAGAGAAGACAGCCTTGCCACCTTTCGAGGCCCCGGGCTTAATCTAGGTGAGCCGGAGATAAGGTTCAGGAGGGTTCCAGGAAAAGAAACAGGATTCGCTACTTGCGGCTTGTGGCAGGCGCAGACTAGAAGCTGCAAAAAGCCTTCAGAAAACTTTTGCAAACTTAACTACGCCCTCCGCGGACTTTGGACATGCTAATTTCGATGGGACTGTTGAAGAGCGAGTGGGGGTAGGAAGCCCTGACAGTTTTCCTTGTCAGTTTATTTTCACTGACCCTAAAGTATGAAAGTATCTTTACTTCCTGATGCCTCCATCGGAGCGAGGCAGAATGGCTTGGGTGTCAAGCCAGCGCTGGGGGTGGGGGTGGGGGGCTGGGTGGGGGAGAAGCATGGGAGCAGACCGGCTGGCCAGGGCTGGGTTATAACTTTTTCTGCTTTTCTACTTTGTAGCAAAGCTAAGGACCTCTGTCAGGGAGGTCCCAACCGGCCCTCAGTGGACGTCCTTGGGGGGCATCCAGATCTTTTTCAGTCCACCCTGGAGGCGGCCCCTGCGGGTCCCCCAGCACACACACACACCGAGGATCTCCAGGGCAACCCAGCATCCCCGGTGTCCCGAGAGCAGGAGGATGGACCAGGGGCCGCGGGGGGCAGCGCCGGCCCCTTTCTAGAACCCGGCCCCGCCCGCCTGGCCGCTGCCCTCCGGGATCGCCCCCGGCCTCGGCCGGCCTCCGCCTGTCCCCCCCCGCCACCCGCTCGCGGCCCGGGCCGAGTACCTTGAAAGCGATGGGCAGGGTCTTGTTGCAGCGCCAGTGCGTGGGCAACACGGAGCAGAGGAAGTTGGGGCTGTCGGTGCGCACCAGCTCGCCGGGGTGGTCGGCCAGCACCTCCACCATGCTGCGGTCGCCGCTCCTCAGCTTGCCGGCCAGGGCGGCGCCGGCGTCCGGGGCGCCCAGCGGCAGCGCCTCGCTCATCTTGCCCGGGCTCAGCGCGGTGGAAGGCGGCGTGAAGCGGCGGCTCGTGCTGGCATCTACGGGGATACGCATCACAACAAGCCGATTGAGTTAGGACCCTGCAAACAGCTCCTACCAGACGGCGACAGGGGCGCGGATCTTCGGCGAGCAGCTCCAGGGAGACCAACATACAAGTTCAGGGGCCTTTATTGCTGCGGGGGGGGGGGGGGGGGGCGGACCGGGCCTCGGCCAGACGGGAGACCAAGTTACTAACAGTCCAAGAGGGGGAAAGTTCTATTATGCCGGCCAGCCTCAGACCCGGCAGGGCTCCTAGCAACCGACCGGTTAGTGCTTTAAAAATTGGGCGACTAGAATCCAGAGTCAAATGCCAAGGGAGACTATCTTCTGAGTCTTGCTTTGAGAGTTTAACTTCAGTCTTTGGCTGTTAAAGAAAGTTCCCGGAGGCAAAATTCCCATACGCTTTCTAAAACATTTATACGGAGAGCGAAAAGACCAGCAAATACATAATTTGGAAGTTCCAGTAGGTAATCGCCTGTCAGTTTTTTGTTTTTTTTTTACTTGTTTGCTTTTGCGGGTGAGTTTTGTCTAAAGTCCTAATACGACACAAAATATACGAGTGTCTTCCATATACAGAGCCACTCTCACATGCAAAACTGGCTTCGGTCCTCAAAAGCAAGAGCTGCGACTTCCAAAGGTCATGCTACTAATGTATGTGCACGTATATATAAATATATACATATGCTCTACTTCATAAAATATTTACAATTCAATCTGTAGAGAATTTAAACACAACAGAAATCCATTAATGTTCGCTGCTGATTTTTTTTTTTTAAGTAGCCTTGAAAATAAGCTTCAGTAGTTGAAGAAGGGCTGGGCTGGAAATACTTGTCATGTTCTCTTAATAATTTCTGGCAAAATGCTCAGTTCAGAGAATTCAGCTTTTCAAAAAAAGAGCTAGTCTTAAAAAAAAAAAGAAAAAAAGTTCCAAGTCGATGACAGTCAGGGTACAGCTCTCCACATCTGAGAACTCGGGTTTGGGGATGTTGGTTAAGTTTGTGGCTGATCCTGTGGTTGGTGGGAGTTGAGCAGCAGCCGAGTCACACGCACGCAGACACGCACTCTTCCCGAAGCCAGCCACTGTCTACATGGACTCGGTGAGTCAGCCCGACTTGGGCAGGAGCGAGACGATCTTCCTCCAACGTCGCCTCAGCGCCGGCTGGTTAAATGCCCGGACGCTCCTATACCTACGATCACCGCGTAACCGCAGCAGGTGGAGCGGGCCTTGAGAGGAGGCTCCGCAGCGCAGATCGAAACAGACGCGGTGGTTCGAATTACACACGCAGTCACACTCCCACGCACACTCCCACGCACATGCAACTTCACGGCTCGCCTCGAAGCCCGGCACACTTTCTCCTGCAGTTGTCAAAGGAAACAACCGGGGAAAAGTTCACAGGCAGGAAAGAAGTTGAAACATCCAGCCAAGAAGAAACCAGTTCATTCAAAAGTAAGAGAGAAAGAAAAAAAAAAAAAAATCGTAGCTCCAACGCAGGTCAAGGAGAAGCAGCAAAGGTTGACTTTCTTCTGGCGTCCCCAGGAGGCCCGGGAAGAGGTGCCTGCCGGCGCAGGGCCGGGCAGCGTGGTGCCCTGGCTGGGTCCGGCCGCGGGGCGCCCGTCCCGCCTAGCGCCCGCTGGCTCTATGAATGAGAGTGCCTGGAAATGAACGTGCTTTTACTGTAAGCCCGGCCCGAGGAATTCCATTCCCTCAGCTCGTTTGCATAGGGGCGGCCGCCGGCCAATCACAGGCCTTTCCGGTATCAGCCAGGGCGCGGCTCGCGGCCGCGGGCTCCTGGAATTGGCCCGCGCGCCCCCGCCGCTGCCGCGCGCTACTGTACGCAGCCTGGGTGGAGAGTCCCAGGCTGCCGCGGCCTCCCCGCGCACCCCGCGCATTCGCATCCACGCACACACACGCACACACTCACACATTCGCCCGAGGCCCCGCCTTGGTGCGGACCGCGGCCCTGCGTCTCTGCGCCCGTGCAGCGTCGCGCTGCCACCGGCCCGGAGCTGCAGTGCGCAGCGGCGCCACAGGCGGCCGCGGTCTGGAGACCAGGGAGGTGGAGAAAGAGGAGGCCGGCCGGCCCTGGGAGGGCTCGGGCCGCGCGCCGCGCCCGGAACGGCCCGGGCACGGAGACCAGCTGGAGGGAGGCGCCCCCCGCGCCTTGGAGATGAAGCGGCCGCCGCGAGGCTCCCGGGATCGGTACCGGAGCCCCGGGGCGGCCCCGGGCCCTGAGCGGCCACCCAGGGCCGAGCCTCTGCTTCCCCGGCGTGGGTGGGATTCGGCCGCGAGGGGGGCCGGAGGGCCGAGGGCCCGGCCGAAGAGCGGCTCCGCGGGGCCCCATGGTCGGGTGGGCAGCTGCAGCGAAGTGACGCTGATTCATTTAACGAGGCCAGACGACTCTCGGTCTCCCCAACATGGTTTTGTGTTTTTAGTTTTCTCTCTTGGTTTGCTTTCTCTAATTGGTGTTTTTCACCGCGTCCGGGCTGCGGCTTAATTACGCAGCGCGCCTCAGTCTGAGTGCGCGGTGCGGCCAGCAAAGGAGTGTCCCGATCAGAAAAGACCCCAAAGAACAAGCGACGGGAAAGAAAGTTGAAGGCATCCGCTGGGCTGGCACCCCGTCCTCGGAGCGTCGGCTCCCCCGCAGGCGGCACGAAAGCCCACCGCTGGGCCTAGGTCGCCCTAGCCCCGCACCCACCTCCGGCTCCCCGGAAACGGCGCTGGCTCCTTTCCCCGCCCCCGCGAGCCGGAGCGGCCTGGGGTGCCGAACCCACCCCGGCTTTGCGCGCCGGCGGGAACTTCCCTTGCGCCCGTCCCCGCGGCGCCGCGGGCATTTTCGCGGAGCTTAGAAGGGGCCCCGCCCCACCCCGGCGCCCGAGGCCCGTCCCTCCCCTCCCCCGCCCCGCAGCCACGGGGCTCCCTGGCACCCCGCGGCACTCACCCCCAGCCGCGGGGGAGGGCGCCCACCCCGCCCCCAACACGGAGCCCCCAACTTCGACTCCCGGGAGCTGGGGTCCCTCACCCGCCCGCCCCCTCGCCCCCCCGCGGGGCCCCTCCCTCCAGCCGCCTCCTTCCCCGCTGCGGGCGCGCGGCTACAGTGCCGGGGACCGCCGCCGCCGCGCGGGACTCTCCACGGGCTCTGCCGCTGGGGCCTAACGGAGGCGTCGGCCAGGGCGGGCCCGCCGCGGAGGCCCTTCCCGGGGGCCCAGGCGGCTTCCCTCGCCCCAGGACCCGAGAGGCCGCACGGGCTGCGCCGAGCGGCGAGGAGGCGGGGGCCGGCCCCGCGGGAGGCGCTGAGGGCCGCGGGCCCGGGGCGGACGCCAGGGGGCAGCAGCTGTCCTCTCTGCCGCCCGGGGCGTCGGGAACGCCCCCGAGGGCGCGGGACTCCGCCGGCCCTCCTCTGGGCCTTTGGGTCGCTCTCGTCACAACTCCAGTTTGGGGAGAAACGACTGGAAACGGCCGCCGGAGCCAGCCCCAGCGGCCGCGTTGCGCCCCTACTATCCCGGCAGCCGAGCTGGCGGTGCAGGAACCCTCTGGTGGGAGTCGCGGGGGTCCCCCGGCTGTCCCGACAGGCCCGCATCAGGGTCTCTTCCCGAAACCCGTTTGCGCGCACACCGCGGTCGGCCCTCCCGCCACCACCGGTGCTCCCGGCGTCCCGGGAGCCGTCGCCCGGCCAGCGGCTCAGGCTCCCGCCTGCCTTTCCGAGCCTCTCCCCAGGTGGGCCGTCCCCTCGCTCCTCTCCCGGGACGCCCGGGACCTCCCAGCAAACTACCTGCAGTTTGTTTTAATGGGTCTGAGGTCTCAGCAAACTCCTTTGTGTTTTTCCTAAATGATTTTGAAGAGGCCCCATTTCAGGCATAAAGACCCCCAAAAGTCCTCTCTCCACCTTGGCCCCGTGGTTCCAAACATTGCGCCGTTGCCAAGCCTCCCCGTCTGCCGCCCCCCCCCCCCCCGGCTCCGGCTCCGCCGCCGCCTCCGGCTCTAGAGGCGAGTTGGGGCGAGTGAAACCCCTTTGCCGCCGCTCAAATACAACGCTCTAAGTGCCCACCGAGCGCTCCCGGGAACAGCCACCAAGTGCATCCTTAGGGACCCCCGCGGACGCAGGGCGGGAGGCTCAGGAGTGCGGCAGAGGCGAAAATGGGCTCTGACTCGGGGGATGTAGCGGATTGGGGTAATTTCGCCGCGCGGAAAGGTCAGAGAAGAACGCTCCTCGGGGCTCCGGCGGTTTGAAACCCTAAACCCTGCGAGGGGGCTGCGGGTCTGACTCTCCGCGGCAGCCTCTCGGGCGGGGTCAAGTTCCCTTCCTTAGAAAAGAGGTACTGGGATAGATGCGCCAAGGTGAGCCCTTCAACGGCAGCACCTTGGGCGCTGCTCGGCTAAGAGTTTCAACCAGTGCATCTCGAACTTGAACGTCGACGAGGATGATAAAAGCGAGAAAAGCTTTTGCTGATTTATTCTAAATCCGGCCGCCGGGCATTTCGGGTTCCCGGGACCCGCGCTGGCTATAAATGCGCTGTGCGGTGCGCACTTGAAAAGGAGAAATAAAACCCTGCACTGCACCTTCCTTATCGAGGAACTAAAGCAGGCAGCATGAGGCTCAGCTAAGGTGTACCTCGAATCCCTTAGTCTGAAGGACTTTTTACAGAGCTTATAAAGTTCATTAACATCGCACGCGAAATGAAGAATTCCTTCCCACCCAAAGCGCTCATTTTAGCGGCAATATAGAATTTCCCTTCCTCTACCTCTCTAAGAAAGGAAAGGAGACATTACCGCATTCACTCCTGGAACAATACTAAAATTTAACTCTTGTCATAATACAAAAATAAAAAATACAACGAAGCGACGTGTTGGGTGGATGCTGTAGGACAGATTTTTCCAAATTTGCTGCGTGGGGGAAATTCCAATAATGTCCCTAACAGGAATGAAATGTAAGTTTTCAGAGGGATTTTTAAAAGTAGTATTTGGTTAGTTGGAATAAAAATAACAATTTCATTGGGAAAAAAACAATGGCTCATTGACGTTTTTCGTCAGCGTTAGGTCAGTATATAACTGTAAGTGGTCTCAGAAAATATCTAAATATCTTACATTTTTGCTGTTTTAAAACCCTCTCAAAAATAAAATATGCCTGTAGGTAGGATTAGAGGCTCAACCATTCTCTTAAATCAACATTCCCCTCTGCGGGTAACATCTTTTTAAAATTACATTTCTAAAAGTGTATTTCTAGAAAAAAAAACTTTCTATTTCAGTGACCACTTCAGTGAATTAAAACCAGGGCACGTATGTTGCTAGTGGTTCTGGAGCAAGCTGGTGCAGTTGGTATAATGTCATAGGGATGGAGAACATTTTTATGAAGAGTAACATGTTCATATCAGTGCAGGTGAATAACCTGCCATACACACAATCCAGTTTTCGACATTACAGTTTGATTAAACATTTCCCCCCTTCTGGAGTGGCTCTGAGATTATTATACTTTTGAAATCCAATTCCTCTGGGGACAGGAGTCTTTCCTTCTGCCACTATATCCTTCCCTCATAGGAATGTTTCCATAGGATGCATGGTTGATGTGTGATCTGTTCACTCCAGCATCATCATTGTGTAGCTCACAGGTAGCAAGCAGAAAGTTTTTAAGTTAATTTTTTTTGTAATTTAGGATGCTTAGTAAACATTTTACCCTCGTAAAAATTTTGCATTGCCACTGCTGTAACAAAGGCAATAAACTAGGTTATAACAAGCTCTATTTTTTTTTTTTCAGAGTCATGCAGAGTCGTTTAATAAAAGCAGAATGCACCTGTGGTAAACTACGCTGTAGAACCGAGGGTGTCATTATAGTTTCATTGGAATGTTTTATAGGGTTTGATATTTACAATACGAAGAGCAGCTTTTAAGTATTTGTGAATCAGCAAAAAAAAAAAAAAAAAAGCCTTAATTATTTGGCTAATTTATGTCATACGTTGTAGAGATGCATAGATAAAAATCATATGAATGTGCATATTTTATAAAAAAATAGAATTTGGGATCCAACATACCGTGAACATCTCTAGATGGATTCATTCCGTGTACACATTCTGAAAGAACAGAAAGTGGGAAAATAAAAACAATTGGGTAAATGTACTGACAGCAAACACTAAATTCACTGATAGTTGATAAATTTCATTCTAATTGCAATAATTACAAGCATTAAAACTAAATTTCCACCCCCCTCTTTTTTTTTTTTTTTTTTTTGTTGTTGTTGTTGTTCGCTGATTGCCCCTCACTCTTTTTAGCACTGGGGAATTTTATAGCATATTGTCCAATTTGGGCACAAAAGTAGCTTTGAAACAGTAAACCAGCAAGTAAAAAATGAACTGTCACATATGCACATAATTTTATGTGACTTCAACCAATGTTTTCCATTGATAGTAGTGAATCTTTCTCTCTCACAGAATCACCTTTTTAAACCTTGGTATGTGAGGCCAATGTGATTTATTTATGAACATTAGACATACATTTGGAGGAAGTAGACGTGTATCAGAATTCAAGGTGAAATCAAGACCAAACCCTTACTTCATACCAAAACACTTCAAATTGGTATTACAGCAGAGGTGAAATGCAAGAGGTAAAAATACGAGTTTTCTTTAAAGCAATGAAGATAAACAATTTTGAATACCTCCTCTGAAAGAAACAAACTGATAAACATTATCATAATTTACTTCCAATGGGACAGGTTGGAAATATTTCCTCCTTGCTTGCTCTACTCTCCTTCCCTTTACTAATTTATCCTGATTTATCTTTCAGAGTATTTATCCTGAAACCTCTCATTCTTGACATAACAGATGATAGCAATTTTTATTGAAAATATCTGTCATACGATCACATCCAAATATGTGTCACTATATTGCTGCTGCGTGTCCAGTTATAGGTAAACCTATTAAGCAAAGTCATCTGAAGCTTCTTTTCTTTGAACATCTACAGTAATGTTCTGCTTTTGACATTGCTGGAACAGCCTTGTATATTGAAAATGCTCAGCACTGAATGCTTAACACAGAGGATACACCATTTTTCAGAGCCTTCGGATTTGAGCATTTGCAATGTCACAGCCCGACTTTCAACCTTACTCCACAATATTAATGTAATATATCTTAAAAACACTTTAAAACTAAGAAAGGAGGTAATTATTTCAGATTTCCAGACGCTGTTTAAATAGGCAGGAGAACGAGATTTACAGCTCCTTAGTCTTATGTATATATACATACATATATATATATATATATATTTTTTTTTTGCCAAAGCAAAAAGAACAACTAGAATAATAAGGGGTTCTGAAGGACTACCCTATAATGAAAGAATGAAAGATTAAAGCAATTGAATAGGTATAGTTTCCACGGAGCATCCTCAAAAAACCAATCACTGAGAGATTGTGGTTTGCATGTATATAAAATGACTCTGTGAAGAGTTTTTTTTATAAATAGAGCAGGGAAAAAAATCATTTGCGCTTATGAATGATAAATTAAGAAATATCAAATGTACCCTGAAGTTTGTAAGTTTACTTTTAATAGGCATGGGGGAGGGGGGATCCACAACAGTAATACTGACCAGACAGCTGGATTTATACAGAAGAGACCCAGCAAACCCTACCACCCTGGACATTCCCTCCTGAGACCCTGAGAAGCTCCCCCAGGTCAGAGGCTGGGGAATAGAAGAAGCAAAATAGAAAAACAAGTGTTCCAGTTACACAGCTAATATTTCCGGGATTCTGGGAGAAAACCCAAGATCTTTTTTTAACCTAAAAACAAAGGCAAGAGTGAGTGAGTTTTGGAAGGTGTGCATGTCATCTGTTGGGAACCATCCTTAGTTTGTTCTGTGTCAGTAG